AGCATTTCAAAAAAGATGTGGAGAAATTGGAAAGGGTCCAGAGAAGAGCAACAAGAACGATTAAAGGTCTTGAGAACATGACCTGTGAAGGAAGGCTGAAAGAATTGGGTTTGTTTAGTTTGGAAAAGAGAAGACTGCGAAGGGACATGATAGCAGTTTTCAGGTATTTAAAAGGGTGTCATAAGGAGGAGGGAGAAAACTTGTTCACCTTAGCCTCTAAGGATAGAACAAGAAGCAATGGGTTTAAACTGCAGCAAGGGAGGTCTAGGTTGGACATTAGGAAAAAGTTCCTAACTGTCAGGGTGGTTAAACGCTGGAATAAATTGCCTAGGGAGGTTGTGGAATCTCCATCTCTGGAGATATTTAAGAGTAGATAAATGTCTATCAGGGATGGGCTAGACAGTATTTGGTCCTGCCATGCGGGCAGGGGACTGGACTCGATGACCTCCCGAGGTCCCTTCCAGTCCTAGAATCTATGAATCTATGAATCTATTCCCATAATACAAGGACTAGGGGTCACCAAATGAAATTAATAGGCAGCAAGTTTAAAACAAATAAAAGGAAGTTCTTCTTCACGCAGCGCACAGTCAACTTGTGGAACTCTTTACCTGAGGAGGTTGTGAAGGCTAGGACTATAACAGCGTTTAAAAGAGAACTGGATAAATTCATGGTGGTTAAGTCCATTAATGGCTATTAGCCAGGATGGGTAAGGAATGGTATCCCTAGCCTCTGTTTGTCAGAGGGTGGAGATGGATGGCAGGAGAGAGATCACTTGATCATTACCTGTTAGGTTCACCCCCTCTGGGGCACCTGGCATTTGCCACTGTCGGTAGACAGGATACTGGGCTAGATGGACTTTTGGTCTGACCCAGTACGGCCGTTCTTATGTTCTTATGTTCTTATAGTGAGGGCTATTGAACTCTGTGATAGTCTAGTTTCTTTGAAAATATATATATTTTTTAAATGAAAGAGCCTTTTGTCAAACGTTTGAGTCCATGTCATATGAGAGAAAACATATATTCATATTCTAAATGCTCTGAATTCTCTTTCACCCCCTCACCTTGTCAGATTTGTGTCCTTCTTCCACATAACAAAGACAGTGATCTTGACAAAGATGATAATGTTAAACAGAAGGATGACTGCCACTACCAAAAGGAATGCCCCTATCATGGGCTTTTTTATGCTCACTTCCCCTTTGTCATCCAGGACTGCAAGCCAGCAACTTAAACATAAAGAGAGACCATTTCAACAGATTTGGCAGACATATTATAAATGCATAACCATAACATAATACACCACCTTTCATCCTGAAGGATCCCAGAGGACTTTATAGACATCACTCACCCACTAGTGAAACGCAGCCATATCTAGAATTGGGCACTGTAGACATTCAGCACTAATAAAGCTATTTTTAATTTTTTTCTCCCCAGGAGAAGTGAAGAATATGTTAGCAAACTGAATCTGCACAGGAGAATTTGGGGGAGACAGAATGTAATTATCCAAACTGGAATCTGACCAGGACATGGGAGTTTATTAATTATTAATTATTATTATTATGTCTGTATTAGAATAGAGCCTCGGAACCCTCAATCAAGGATCAGAGAGCCCCACTGTACTTGGGATTGTACATACATGTAGTATAAAGACAGCCCTTGCCCCAGAAAGTTTACAAGCTATGTTCATGACAAGATGAAAGGGGCAGCAGCTGAAACAGATAAGTGGGGCCAAGGAAGGGAGGAGGAGGTTGCAGTATAACTGTCGTGTTTTTGTTTAACAAACAGTAGTCTCAGATAAGAACATTAATACTCCCTAAATCTTGAGAAAAACACCATGGGATATTTAATGATCCAGGTGGAAAGGGTTTTGTTTTTACATCTCACTTGAAAGAATCTACCTCTGATTACATACTTACGGTCCACTAGAACCAATCACAGACCATGCCCAGCCCAGCATATTTTATAAAACAGCCTATTATGGTGTGGCTGCAGTCATATAGAAAGAAGGTACCAAATAATATAGGGTAATTGTGGACATTGGTGATGTAGGCCAAAATTTTAAAATCTACATGCCTAAATTTAAGCACTTAAATCCCTATTTAGGCACCTAAATAAGTGGCCTGAATTTCAAAGGGGCTGAGAGCATGCACAGTTGCCGCTGAAGTCAACGAGGAGTTGTGCCTGAGCATTCAAGGCAAATTTTGGCCAGTGCTTTAATCAGCATTTGTTAACAAAGGACCAAAGCCTGAAGTCCTTATTTAGGCAAAACTCCAGCTGAGTTTAACAGAAGTTTTGCTTGGGTAAGGACTAAGAGGTTCAGGACTGGATTAATTAATTAGTTACAATTACTGCCATAGTAAATCCAGGGTAGATTAATGTTGCTGCACATTAAAGATACAATAAAACAAGTGGTGTAATCATTCATTTACTTACAACTCTTCCTGTCGGTAGTTTAATTGCTTGCCCTCTCTATAGGTAGCTCCAAGTGTTATAGCAACCACTACAGCAGGCACTCCTAATAGACACAGAGAGAGATCGAGAGATCAGTAGTGTATTGTTTAATTACCTAGGTCTAGATCACCCCCTTCTGCAGAAATACCCAAATACCTGCCTGCTAAGACCCTCAAGGCTTGTTAAGGCCCATTTTCTATCTGTCCTGCACTCAGTTAAGGGGCAATAGTGGCCTTGAGGAAAAGGCAGGATTTGGGATTGAGTAGAGAAGTTATCTATGGGAAGCTCTGGGCCAAACCTTACTGAGTTTACCTGTGGAGCATCAGTTCCTGTGCCTAGAGGCTCCCCACATCCTGGCAGCAAAGCAAACTCCTCTGCTGTGCTGCAGTTGGCTCTCTTACAGCAACTGTGCAATCCTAGCCCCTTTTCACAATCTAGAACTATTTAGTAGATACCATGAGAAAGCTGTATCCCACATCAGCTGCATACTCAATGATGCAAAGACAACTAAGATATTCACGCACACTTTTAGAATACTGTACTGAATGAAGCTGAGTCCCAGAGACTCCTGTCTTATTCAGTGGGTACCCCCTGCCTTCCTCAGTTCTCCCAATAGTTCCCCTTAATCTTGCAGCATTGCTGCTTATTGCTATGCTCTTAAGATGTGCTAAATGTTTATTACAAAGTAGTACATAATAAATAATACAAGCCAATTTTTGCTTTTGGATGGATGAATGGCTCCTATTGAAATCAATGGGAATCTCACATACTCTTCCTAGGGCAGAATTTGACTCCAAGTATGCAATCATTTATCAGAAACAATTTTGTTTCAGGTGATACAATATTCTTGAAGCCCTTAGCTATTGCCAAAATTCTGGCTGCATGCAGCAGACGGGAGTTGCTGTGACAATGAACATGCCATGTATATCCTATAATTCTACTGATCTCCATGTTAATGCAGAGACAGCAGACTGAGCTGGTAAACTGCAGGTGAATCAGTAAAAGGACATTAGAAGTAACTGCATCCGAAGAAGTGGGCTGTAGTCCACGAAAGCTTATGCTCTAATAAATTTGTTAGTCTCTAAGGTGCCACAAGTACTCCTGTTCTTCTTTTTGCGGATACAGACTAACACGGCTGCTACTCTGAAACCTGTAGGCTACCTGTTAAACCACATAGCGAACCCAAAGAAACTGACTGTATTTCATTTTCTGTCTATTGGATTAATATGTTTAAAGCTTACATTGAATGCACTACTTACATTTTGAAAAGCCCTCTGCATATGAGACTCTAATTCTTACCCCATCCAATTATTGACATGATTAAAGTGAAGTGTCCAGGAATGGGCCTCAGGGTTTTAAGCAGCAGTAAGTACAAATGTGCAGAATTGAGCGCTGTCCACATAAATGTTGCCAACAAGAAATAGTGCAGCAAGACAGCTACAGCAGTACACAAGGCATTTTCAGGAGGATCTACCCGGTCTGAGTCCAGTACGGCGTTATTGGTGGAAACAGCAGTGTTATTCTTGGCATTTGAGTTGTCAATTCCAAAGATGAAGATGATGTTGAAAATCAGCATGGATGTGCAGAGACTCACCAACATCCAGGTAACTGAGAATTTTCGTGTTTTCCTATTGGTTGGTAAGCACCATACATATTTGAGAAAAAAGTAGCAAAGCGAGAAAAGAAATTATGATACATTTCCTCCTTTCCTGCATCTCTTAACATGTTAGAAGTCAGCTGGGAGTGTGCAACATTTTTTTAATACAAACCTTGGATTGACTGAGATTTACAATGCCAAAAAAAGGCAATAAACATTTGGCAAAGAGTTCTACATGACTTTTATTTTCACACCTATCTATCAAATTCACCTTGACTTCAGTGAGAACTGAGGGCACTCAACACCTTGCAGGACCAGGTCCTTAGTACAATATTTGGGACACATTTCCTTACTTTTCTGCTGCTTTTCAGGCTGGTTAGTCTCAGTGTAAGAGAGAGAAAACAGTGTAACAGAAATATTTCTAAACACTCTTAGAGGTCCAAAGAGCTGGGCACATCAACATATTTTATGAATTCACGTGAAAAACTCTCTCCTTCCTGGCATGGGTATAACTCCATTGACTTTGGTGGAATTACACCTGAACTACACTAGTGTAAGCAAGATCAGAACAACTCCTAGAAACAGACTTTGTCATTAACCTAAGAGAGCTGCCATTATGCGAGTTGGAGTTTGGCTATTGCCTGAGAAAAGATCACATGATATTAATTAATACACTGATGTCTCAGGGGAGTTTTATAGAAGCCGCTGCACATTTAGAGCAAAATACATCATTCCATCATGTATCAAAACACAATAGGTCAAAACCTGAGGTCTTTACTTAGTCTTTAATCAGGCAAAAGTTCTAGGGAAGTTAATGAGAGTTTTGCATTGAGTAAAGACTTCAAAATTTGGCCCATATGGACTGGAGTGTTAAGACTAAAGGTTTGAAAATATTATCTCCTGAATGCAGTGATACCTTAAAACCATCAGCTTCCAGCATTCTCTCTCAGTCTTTTTAATCCCGTAGAACCATCTTTCCTAATATAAATTTCTATCATGCATCAGTCTCTGTATCTATCATACTATTGTCTATACAATGAAATGTCATTTGTTACTTTTGATTGTCTTAAAAATAATTAAGTAAAATTAGCCAAAACTGTACAGAATCCAAATGGACTCATACTGACACAGGGATATGATCCTTCAACGGGATCTGCACAGTCACCAAAGCCTGCTTCTGTGGATCCCTTTGAAGGATTGGGACATTAGGTAAAATTTTGTGAGTCAGAGCGGGTTGGTAGTACTCAGTATCTCATAGGAAGGGCTCAGTACCTCACAAATTGGGCCGTGAGATACTCTTCCGAACTCTGTGGTGTCACTTCTCTTTGAATCCAAAGTATTTTCAAATATAAGTTGTCATAATGACTTTTAGTAATTAATTTTACTGCATTGTTATCCTCATATTTAAAAAAAGGGAAATCACAACAGAGAAAGGTTATATGATTTGCTCAAGGTCACACAGCAAGATAGTGGCACAGAGAGGACAACCCAAGTCTCCTGACTTCCAGTCCTTTGCTCTAACCGCTAGACAATACTGCTCCTTAGGCTTACAACATATTTAACATATTGTTGATACTGTGCAATAGTAAGATATTAAGAGTATCTATCTATATTATAAAGTGACTTCACTCACTTTTTTCAGGCCATATTCAGAGCAGCATAATGTTAAATTAGCATAAAAATATTTTTGCAGATAATGTCTATTTTATGTCTTTTCTCTTACCTGGTGAGAATTTGAAACAGAATGGTAATAACCAGACCAGCAATGGAGAATCCACTACCAATGTTTGAGACAATCTCTAGAGGTTTTGCGTATTTGTAATTGATCTTGAAACTCTAGAAAATAATTTTTATTGATTATAAATAAAAAGTTATTCAGCTAGTTGGGTATGCATGTTGTGGGGGAGATAGTTTTCTCTCTAAAATTTATGTGGATGATTGGACATGGGAATAATAGTGTTTTTTTAATATTATGGCTACTACTAGCCACTGCCAAAATTTGCAGGTCACACAAAATTAGTCAAAACCAGAGAAGTTTTTCAGGAACTTCAGAGGAAGCTAACAATGCTAAGTGAATGTATAACGCAATGGCAGATGAAATTCATTGTTAAGAAATGCAATATACCCTGGAAGAAATAATTTGAACTACTCATATACAATTCTGGATTCTAAATTAATTGTGACCTGTAGGGAAAATTATCTGGGCAATATTATGGACAGCAAATCAAAACCTGTCTCTGTATAGTTATAGTAAAAGCAGCAAACAAAATGTTAGCATGTATAATGTCTGGTACAGACAGGCCCGCCAACAGCAATTCCGGGCCCCAGGGCAGAACAGTCAATGGGCCCCCACGCACGCACAAGCTGCGCCCGCGTTGATGCAGTCCGCCTGACATTTGGGCAGTGCTGTGCCTGCACTGACTGGTGCCCAGCAAGCTGCCGGCTGCACTGCTGGGCACGCTCTTCTGGCCCGGGCAGGGCTTTGACATGCCTACCCGGTAGGGTTGCCAACAATCTAACTGCGCAAACCCAAATACCTTTGCCCCGCCCCCTCTCCTGCCCCTTCCCTGAGACCTCGCCCCGTACCGCCCCTTCTGTGAGGCCCTGACCCCTGCTCACTCCATCCCCCCTCCTTCCATCACTCATTGTCCCCCACCCTCACTCACTTTCACCAGGCTGGGGCGGGGTTGGGTGCAGGAGCGGGTGCGGGGTGCAGGCTCTGGGAGGGAGTTTGGGTGAGGGAGGAGGGGACGGGCTCTGGGAGGGAGTTTGGGTGCGGGAGGGGGGTGTTGGGCTCTGGGGAGGG